TTGGATGCCCTTTATTTCTTTTTCTAGCCTAATTGCTCTGGCTAGGACCTCCAGCACAATGTTGAATAAGAGTGGTGATAAAGGGTACCCTTGTCTGGTTTCCATTCTCAAGGCGGGTGCTTTCAGACTCCCTCCATTTAGGATGATATTGGCTTTTGGCTTTGTATAAATGCCCTTAATTATACTGAGGAATTTCCCTTCTATTCCTATTTTGTTGAGAGTTTTTATCATGAATGGATGCTGGACTTTGTCAAATGCCTTTTCTGAATCAATTGATAAGATCATGTGGTTCTTGTCTTTTGTTTTATTTATGTGATCGATTACATTGATTGCTTTTCTAATGTTGAATCATCCCTGCATACCTGGTGTAAATCCCACTTGATCATGGTGAATTATTTTTTTGATATGTTGTTGAATTCTGTTGGCTAGAATTGTGTTGCAGATTTTTGGGTGTTCACGAGGGCTATTGGTGTGTCATTTTCTTTTTTTGTGGTGTCTTCACCTGGTTTTGGTATCAGGGTTATGCTGGCTTCATAGAATGAGTTTGGGAGTATTCCATCCTTTTCTATGCTCTGAAATACCTCTAGTAGTAGTAGTGTTAACTCTTCTCTGAAAGTTTGGTAGAATTCTGATTATATATTTTAAAAATATGCTTTTCCTGATTACAACAGCAATACTTGTTTGTTATAGAAAAAGAAAAATATGAAAACATACATAGAAGAAAATAAACATCTATAGTCCCACCACCTAGAAATGACCGTTTTAAACAATGTTAGTGTGTATTTTTCCAAGCTATTTAACTAATTTCCTTTATTGGGTTCTTAAGTCTTTAGTTTTTCACTAATATAAATAATACTGCATTAACACGGACATACCATAAATCCTTGTCCCTATTTATAGCTCTTTTTGTAGAGTGGATTTCTAAAATGAGATGTTTTTGTTTTTAAATTGATTCTGTTTTAGGCATAAGAGCTTTTCTGTTTATGTGACCTGTTGATGGACCGTACCCGGTCCTTGAGTAGACAGAGCTGGAGAAGCAGAGGGTCCTGACCAGGGCTGATGTTCAGTTGTTGGGCTTGCCCCCATGCACATACCCTGGGGTGTGTTTCATTCCCAGCACACAGTGAGAGATAGTGAAGTACAGGAAGTCCTTGAATCTGTTCTAATTTTAAAAAAAAGAAAAGAAAAAGGTTTACAAACATTGGTGCTGCTTTTAACCACAATTAGTAACACATTAGCTGCGACAACCTCACAACTGACAGTGACGTGTCTTGGTACCTTTTCTGAGAACCACTGACCTATGTGCAAATTTAAGGCAAATGAGGCTCTGAGCACCCCCTGAAATGAGCTTGTGTAGCCACAGGTTAGCCTAGTCAGTGGACAAGGGAAAGCAATGGGGCAGCAGTGGAGTAGTCCAGAGGTATGAGGACCAGCGCCCGAAGTACATTACAAAAAAGGGGTGGACTAAGCCTGAAACAACAGAAGAATGGAAAGGTAATAGGTGGCTGTTGGGTGTGTTCATCCACATACTTAATGACATAAAGGTTTTGACACTTTTCTTCCCTCTCTGCCTCCCCTGTTCATTCTGGGACATGATGTTCAGGCTCCTCCTACTATATGTCAGGCACCATACCAGCCTCTGATGGGCAAAGGTTAAAAAAAAGCCACAATTTGAAGTTTTGTTCCACATTTTCCCCCCTTTGGATCAGGATTCTTCTGTAGAATCTTCGATGAAAAGGTTTGGTAGCCAGGCAGTTGCTCATGGAGGCAACCAGACACACGTTTGATAAAAAGTCCATCTGCTTTGAGCAGTGTGCTCTTGTAAAGAATTATGCATGTGAGATCAAGTTGACAGCAGCAATTCTACACATTGCATGGAAAGCTTAGGGGGCAGTGAGTTTAAGATAATGGTGGTGGAATCATTTGGAAAAGGATAGCAAGAATGGTAGCACAACTTGGAGAATGTAATCAATGTCCCTGAGTTGTACAAGTAGAAATTGTTGAAATGGTGTATCTTTGGTTATGTATACTTATACACACATACACACACAAAAGCCAGAGCCCTGCTTCCAGGGACTCACAGGCTAATGGGGCGGGGTGGGGGGGCTTTGTATGTTGTGTGAGGAGATAGTATTTAAGTGGAGAGCTGAAGGCTGAGGAGGAGTGAGTGGGGTGAGGATGATGTAGGCAGAGGGGGTGGCAGGTGGGAGGGCCAGAAGAAGAGTGATGTTTGAGAAGCAGACGGAGGCCAAGGTGGCTGGCTCATGGTGAGCAGGGGCAGCGATGGGAAGTGAGGACGGGTTGGTGGGCAGGGCCTTATCAGATTTAGATATTTTCAGTCTTTACACTAAGACAGCTAAAGGATTTTGAGCAGAGGATCAGAAGAACCCAATTAAATGTTTTAAAAATCTCTCTGGCTCTTGTGTGTAGAGGCGAGATTGGAGGAGGTGGAGAGCTCAGACTTTGATAGTCTGACCTGAGTGATGGCAGCTTGGACCCAGTGGTGGCAGCAAGGACATTCTAGACTTTGGAGGCAGAATTAAGGCAGGCTAGAAGTGACAGATTGGGGGAGGATTGTAGTAGAAGGAGCCCTAGTGGTGCAGTGGTTAAGTGCTCAGCTGCTAATCACAAGGTCAGCGGTCCAAACCTACCAGCTGCTCCGTGGAAGGAAGATGTGACAGTCTGCTTCCATAAAGATTTACAGCCTTAGAAACCCTATGGGGGCAGTTCTACTCTGTCCTACAGGGTCACTATGAGTCGGAGTCAACTTGACAGCAGTGGGTTTGGTTTTTTTAACTTGAAATTCAATATAATGTGGACATTGATGGTTCAGTGGCAGAATTCTCCCCTTCTACGCAGGAGACAGGTTCAATTCCGGCCGATGCACCTCATGCGCAACTGCCACCCGTTTGTCGGTGGAGGCTTGTGTGTTGCTGTGACGCTGAACAAGTTTCAGTGGAGCGGCCAGACTAAGACAGACAAGGAAGAAAGGCGTGGCGATCTGCATCTGAAAATCTACCAGTGAAAACTCTGAATCACAAGCGTCTGATCCACAACCAATCATGGGGATGGCACAGGACCGGGCAGCGTTTCATTGTACATGGGGTCACCATGAGTTGGGGGCCGACTTGATGGCAGCTAACAGCAATAACAAGAAGATTCCTCGTAGCTCTTTTAAGAACCTTTATTTTATGTCCCTCTGTTCCGAAGATAAAGCACTTTCTTGTTTTCCTTCTTGCCTGCTATCAAACATTCATTGACATTTAAGTCTCCATGGAGTGATAAATTTGTACAACATATTATGTGAGAAAGATTATTAAAGAGTATGCATAGCATGATCCCATTTGGGAAAATAGTTATTTACTGAAAATAAATTTATTTAAACACATTTTTTTTCCTTGCACTATTTAGCCATCTCCAAAGTTTTCTGCCAGAATGTCAATGGTGATGACCTTTCCGTTGTGAAGTGCGGGACACATTTTGCTTTCTTTGGTATAACCTGGTGGAGTCCCTGGGTGGTGCAAACGGTTTGCTCTCAACCACTAATTGCAAGGTTGGCAGTTCAGATCCCCCCAGTGGCACCATATAAGAAAAGGCCTGGTGATCTACTCTCGTAAGATTCCAAAACCCAAAACCAAACCCGTTGCCGTCGAGTCAATTCCAACTCATAGCAACCCTATAGGACAGAGCAGAACTGCTCCCTAGGGTTTCCAAGGCTGTAATCTTTACTGGAGCAGAGCTACATCTTTCTCCCCCAGAGCAACTGGTGAGTGAGAACCTCCGACCTTTCAGTTAGCAGCTGAGCACTGCACCACCAGGGCTCTTTCTCATAAGATTGCAGCTGTTGAAAACCCCATGGAGTGCAGTTGTGCTGTGAAACACACGGGGTCACCATGAGTCGGAATTGGCTCGCCGGCAACAGGTTACGTGGAGTCTCTAAATTTGTTTATGATGAGCTGTGAAATAATCAGAACAACGTAAAAGTCGACTTTCATTTTGGAATGAAAAGCAGAAGGCTTTCTGACACATTTTATGTGCAGGGCACTGGAAATGTAAAGAACATAAATGCAGATGGTGAGGCGAAACACGTTTTCCTTTTTTCCTTTGTTTCAGGAAGGAGTTGAAGTACGAGTGGCGAGAATATTCAACACCTTCGGGCCACGCATGCATATGAACGACGGACGGGTTGTCAGCAACTTCATCCTGCAGGCCCTCCAGGGGGAGCCACTCACGGTGCGTACCTGCCTCAGGAGGCACGTGGTGTTTTCCTAGGTCCGCTCTGCACCCCAAATCTGGACTTGGCCTACAAACAATGGAAGATGCGAAACTCTTGATTTGGGGAACGGCATTTCTGAAGTTGGCATTTTGTGCACGTGTGTTTCTGTGCATGCCTCTGTCCCCGATTAACCTTCTTAGTGAAGAGGAGGGAAGGCGGGTGGGTAGAATCCAGCAGAGCTGTGTCTATATCCTTCAGATGAGATGATTGAGTCACCTTGCCTCTACCGAGCCCAGAGATACCCTAGGACAGCTGCCTGTAGGCTTTGTCCACATTGCCAGTTCCTCAGGGTCTGTCTGCAGGAGCCTGCCTGCAGAGACCTTTCCCAACTCTCTTGCCATGCTGGCTGTAGCCAGGGGTGTGTGTTTACTTAGCGCCTCTCAGATTGCCGAGAAGTAAAACCACGTCAGAGGGAAGTGGAGATGAGCTGGGTCAGGTCTGGGCACTTGGGAATATCTGACAAGCACTCCTTCTCTTGCCAGTTGTTCTGCACCCCAGGGAAGCTTCTGGAGCCCAATGCGGAGATTCTGACGTGGGTGGCTGGGGTCACCGGTTCTGACGTGTGTTGAGGAAATCTGCTATAACGTGCTGATTCTGATCGCCTGCCTTCAGACCCTCTGACAGGCTGTGGGGCCACGGATGGCCGTTCATTCCACACACACACTCAGCTCCCCCTTTGGCTGTGGGACAAAGCAGAGGTCTCTTAACTCCCTCAAGGATGAGTGCCCTTGGCATGCTCAGGGAGTGGGGTATTGATTACCTATCGTTGGTTTTCTTCAGTTTTGCTGAATCCTCATTCTTTTCCTCCCGTCTCCTCTCTGCTTCTCTTTCCTCTTCCTGCTTGTCTGCCTCAACTTCTTTGTTCTTTCAGTCTGTAGCCTCCTAATGTCTTAAAAGCTCAGTGTTTGGTGGGTGTCCAGAGCTGAAACCATTCTGTTACTTGGGAGGTTCTGCAGAATGATTTGCTTATCAACTGGGATATTCTAGGAAAAAAGAAAATGACATCTGTTCATCTGTATTTATCTATCCATTTATCTGTCTGTCTGCCTATTTGGAGTCCCTGATTGTTACAGATGGTTAATGTGCCAGTTAGCTGCTAACCGAAAGGTTAGAGATTCGAGTCCACACAGAAAGAAAGGCCTAGAGCTCTGCTTCCAAAAAATCAGCCACTGAAAACCATATAGAACACCATTCTACTCTGACACATGGGTCGCCATGAGTCAAAATCAACTCGATGGCAACCTTTTTTTTTTTTCAATCTACCTATCATTTATTGATTTATTTATCATTCACCTATCCGTCATTTATCTAGATAAAGATGGTTTAGTGTGTGCCAGGCACTGTTCTGTGCTCTTTACATTTATTAACTCATTTAATCATCTGACAAATCTGTGGGATGTAGATAATGTTACCCTCATTTTCCAGATGAAGATACTGAAGCACAAAGAGGTTAAATAAATTGCCCAAGCTTCCACAGCCAAAAGGTGGTTGGCTTGGTTTTGAACCCTGGGAGCCTGGCCCCAGAGCCCACAGTCTTGATCACTATTCTCTGTGGTGGTTATTGTTCTTGTATGTGTTAGCCAGTCTACCACCATTAGAACAAAAAGCTTACTTAGTCTGTTACAATATGGTGTGGCTCCCCCAGAGCAAAGCACATTTTATAGATGAGTTTTGCTTAACATATTACAGGGGGGAACATGAATCCAAACCCCAGTTCTAGATTTCCTGTGTCCCAGACTGGCTGTTCTTGTCCTTCACTTCGCAGTAAACGGTAAATGCATTCCTTCAGTGCTTCGAGACAGATTATTTGTCATCAAACTTGGCTCCTCTTTTTCACACCCTACACATCTGATCAACCTGCAGACCCTAATGGCTTTGCTTTCTAAATAAATCCAGAATCCACCCTGTTCCCCTACTGCTGCCCTGCTCCCAGCCTCTCTCAGGTTACTACCATAGTCTTCTGTGAAATTAGAGGGAGCAGTCCACAGGACTTCCTTCACTTCTGACACTGGTTCCAAGTTCAGGAGTCCCCAAGGCTGTCCTTAGGTTCAATAATGGACTAGAAAGCCTCACAGAATTCACCTAAAGCTGTTACACTCATGGTTGTAGTTTATTACAGCAAAAGGATACGGATTAAAATCAGCCCAGGGAAGAGGCACGCAGGGCAGAGTCTAGGATGGGCCGTGGAGTCACAGACCCGTTAACCCATCCTGCCTGACAGCGAGGTGTGACAACATGCACAGAGTATTGCCAACCAAGGAAGCTCACCTGAACCTTGGTGTCCAGAGTTCTTATTTGGAGCTGGATCACGTAGACGTGGTTGACTGCTTGCGTGGCTGACTTTAGTCTCCAGCCTCTCTGGAGGTAGAGTGGATACCATGTGGCCCAAAGCCCCAGTCAATCATAAATCAGAAAGGCTCCAGGTAAACAAAGATACTCTTCCTAGAGATCACCTCCCAGGACACAGGAACAAAGGTCAGACCCCTCTTTGGGTAAGAGGTTAATTCTTCACCTCACTGGTCTGATTCTCTCTGTTGAGTATATTCTCAACCCAGCAGCCAGAGTGATTCTTTTAAAAAGAAGTCAAAATCTTCAATGTCTTTTCGTCTTATTCAGAGTACAATCCATAGTCCTTACTCTTCCCTCCGTAATTCCCACCCCGCCTGCTGCCACCAGCTCTGCAACCCCACCTGCCCCCAGCTACTCCTCAGACCCAGCCCATTCAGCACTACTCCATGCTTCCAGACTCTCTCAGGGCTTTGTTGTGGTTGTGGTTAGCTTCCGTCGAGCTGGCCCTGACTCATGGCGACCCCATGCACATGGGATCAGACCATTGTGATCCATAGGGTTTTCATTGGCTGATTTTTTGGAAGTAGATCATTAAGCCTTTCTTCATAGTCCTTTGTAGTCTCGATCAGTTCAGCATCATAGCAACTTGGAAGCCTCCACTGACAGACAGGTGGCAGCCACACATGAGGTACATTAGCTGGGAGTCGAACTTGAATCTCCCTGCATGGAAAGCGAGAGTTCTACCCCTGAATCACCACTGCCCTCTCTGTCTCAAGGCTTACTTCTTCACTTTTCTCAGGTCCCTGCCCAATTGTCACCTCATTGGAGGAGTCTTTCTTGACCATTCTATATATAATAACACCCACCCATCACTATCCCTCCTAACCATGCTTTTACTATTCTTATTGTACTTACCACCAACTGAAATATTAATTGTTCAATCCCCTAATCGTTGCTGGAGTGTAAGCTTCTTGACATCAGTAATTTCTTGTATTCACTGCTCCTGGAAGAGCGCCTGGGCCCTAGGAGGCACGCAGTACATGTTGGTTGAAGTAATGATTGCGCTTACGGGTGGCCGCTTCCTTCGTGACGGAGACAAACAACTAGCTGTCACTTAGGAGGTGAAATTTACTATCATTCGGTGCTGCCCTCTTGCCTGCTTTTTGGGGTTCCAAGGTTCTAGAGAACCAAGACAGCCCCCCAGCCCCCCAGTCTAGCTGCTCTGTTGAGAATTTCTCATCTTGAGTGATATCCCTGCTGCTTATTTCAGCCACTGCACTCAGGAAGGCTTCCTTACATCACGAGATCAGAGCTGCTTTGTTTGTAGAGTAAACTGTTTTAAAGCCTTCCAAGAAACAGCTTCTTGATTTATCACAGCCTTGGCAGCAGCCAGGGCCCAGGGGGAGGTAGGAGAGCGAGTCCCCTGGCCTGCCACAAGAATAAACGTATTGTTGGCAGACAGTCATAATTTATGTGTTGTCTTCATGCCGAGCAAGCTTCTGTGCCCGTGACGGAAGAAAAAGATCGCTGGTGCCGTCGGTGAGTGTGGTGAGTTACAGAACATGCTTAGCTTAGACTTCTGGACTCCTCTGGTGGACGGAGGGATGAGTCCGTCGGAGGGCCTTCCAGAATGCGTTTTCTTTTCCTTTAATCACGCAGAATATTTCCCATCAGTAGCTTGATGAAATCGCTAGCCTTTTAATCCTTTTCTGTCCAATCAAGTTACTATTTCTTGCTTTTGTAAGCTTTTGCCAGATGGTTCTGTGGGGAAGTCTTGTGGGAAGGATCATACTTCACGACTCTTTCAGCCCAGCTCACCTCTGAGAATACTTTGTTGATTAAGAAGGGTAATAAACAAATGTGTCTGTCCATCTTTTTCCCTTTCTGCTGTTTTTCCAATATACAATTTCTAACGCTGAAGATCTCGTTAGCGATCATGGGAAACAATTCAATATGTTAGCTTCCCTCTTCCGAGCTGAGTTAATGTCATCTCTTACCTTCCAGCTGCTTCTTTTCAGAAGCTCTTGTTATCTTATCCCTTGGCAAAGATAATTGTTTTGGCACGTCTGAGCGTCTTGAGTCCCTGCCATAGCAGATGTCTGTTACGATGACTCGGGATATATTCCTAGGCTCCGTAAGTCATGCTCTGAAGTTCTGTTTAAGTTGAATGAAACAGAAGCTCAGAAAATATTTTGTTCCCGCTTAGTAGGCTTAGAAAATAGGTGACTATGGTTCAGATGAAGCTAGCTTAGTGAGTTTATTTTGAGGAGATGCAGTTCAGTTAAAATACGCACGCGCGCACACACGTTCACAGTAGGGTTTAATTCTGTTTTGCCCCAGTACTGCGATTTTTTCCAGTTTATAGATGAGAAAACAGCTTCATTGAGATGAAGTCATCCGGGAACAGCCAGATGTAGCAGAACTGGGATTTGAATCCAGGTCTGTCTCTTTTTGAAAACTTGCTGGCTGTTTTTCCGAAGGGGAATTTTGAAGAACTGTTCTTTTAAGACCAATTCAGAGTTGGTATAGTAGTTCCCATTCTTCGCAATACTGTAATGTCTGAAGTGATTCCTAACACTGGGCCTTTTATTCATGGAGAAATGCCATGGGGTCTTAGCCACACAGGACGCAGTAGTAGGAGAGCGATGTGGTGAACAGAACAGAGAGG